TGGTTTTTTTTTTTTTTTTTTTTAGCCTTATGCTACTACAGCAGCTGGTAAGGATATTACAAGATTTTCCAGCCCAAAGTCCTTAAATGCAAGCAAAAATAAATCGTAATGGTGTAGTGTATAGCTTCTCAGTGAAAGGATTTTATTTGATCATTTTTAGATTTAAAAAAGAATAAACCTACCATCCTAACTTAACTACAGAGGTAACAACAGGCTTATAAATGACTGAAAGGTGACTGTTGATGTACAGATGAATCCTCTGCAAAATCTTCTCTTCCACTTGAGCTCTGTCTTGGAGTAAAATCTACTCCGTTCTAGAAGCTATCCATTACTTTCTGTCCAGCCACTCTCCCTTTCTGATCCCACAAGTTCTGCTTGTCAAAACTATCTTCACCTGATTCAGCTGGTTGATTTGCATATAAAAAACAAGGAAACTGCAGCTCCAGCCCTCACTTGAACTGATTAAAGGTCATGGGGAAATCATTTGCTCAATCTCAGTACTAAAAAAGAGGGATACTGTTATGGTGCTATGAATGAACCTCATGCTTTACAGAAAGTCAAAAGGGTAATGCTGCTGACAGAGTGGCCAACTTGTGAGATTTGTTCAACCTGCTGCTGCTCCTGTACCCCTTCCCCCAGAATGTGACAGGTGTTAACATAAAGCAAATGATACAGCCCTTGCTGTGCCTTTTTTTAATTGGCTTGGAAACAAAGAGTTTCTTTTTACCATGGATGCCCAACCTGTTGCCTACTAAGGTGTCCTGATTTTGGTAAGTTAAAAATTAAAGACTTGGAATCAGGTCAACATGTTAAAAATGGGTTGCTTCCAGAGCAACCCAGTTTTCTTAACAGCCCAGCTCCTTTCAGCTTGACAACTGTCAACTCTTGCTGCTGATGAGCCACATGCAGACCACCTTTTGTGTTTTAGCATGATTACCTCTGGTTACACGAAGCATCCAACTAGTACATGCTGAGAACTCAAACCAATCTCTCTCATGATTGTTGGCTCAAACATTACACTCCTGAATTACGCAGGAAAAGATGCCCAACAACCCTAGAAAGGGTACAAAGCTGGAATTTTTCATGACAGCCCAGATGGGTGCCATGAACTAGGCTGGAAAGGGATGATTGCCTACTGTTGCTCTGTGGGTTTAAGAGCACCCAAGAAAAGGGAGGAGAGACCAATAGCGATGAAAAAGAAGCCCATGATGATTGTACACGCTGAAAGCTTCAGTTATTGTGGAAAGAATGAAGTACCTGAAAAATCAACTAGATATTCATAGGTGCACTTAAAGCACCCCAGTATAATTGACCCAACAGTCTTCCTCCTCCTACCCAGCCTATAAAGACTCCCTATTTTTGTGTTCTTTTAAAATTTTGGTCAAATCATCTTAAAAACCCCTACTAGCAATTTTCAGATGCTTTCAAGCACCTGCAACTACCTCTGATAGAAAAGGGCAAACCAGTTATTCACAATTTCTACTTAATCCAATTTGCTGCCCTCCGCAGGTATATTTATGTAACGTGCATGCTTGGACGAGTATGTCTTGGTCTGAAATGAAAAAACAGGGCAAAGGAATAGAGCCCTTTCATTTACAGAACCCTTCCTGGAGCAAATTGGCAGCTTCTATATATTGTCAGATTCCAAATTTGCTCATAGCCACCATGTCAAGTAACGATGGGAGTTGTAATCCAGCAATATTTGGTGGAACATCAAGTACCATTTCTCTCCCCCTCCCTGCCCATCACAGAATAATTTCTCCCAACAGCAGCAGGTGGGGAAAAGCAAGATAGCTTGCTAAACCAGTGCTTTCATGGAACTTGCCCTATGAAAATTATCCTTCTACACAGTGGATCAGGTAAAGCCTACAGATCTTAACAGGAATCAAAGGTCTTTTTAAGAAGTAGCTGCTGGTTGCATTGCAGTGAGTGAGCTTAACAGTAGATGCACATACTTCACACTTAAGCTAGTTCCTACTACAATTGTGCTGTTGCTGAATTACAACTCCTAGCATCCCTAACAGTTGGCATGGTGGTGGGTCTATTGCAAACCAGTTCTTCAATATCTGGGGTGCTAAAGAGTCTCCTGAATAATGCACAATGATCTGTAAGTGAATGAATAGTAACTATTGAAAGGAGTGTACTTGCTTCTGGCTATGATTTTTGATCTGTGATGTTTCTTTCAAATACACAAGTATTACATAAACATGTACTCTAAAAATGCATGATACAGGTCAAGGTATACATGTTCCCACATCTGCTGAACTGATGTCCTTTCACGCAATTGTCCTTCCTAAAAAAACACCTGCATGCACCATAAATAAATACACCAATTCCTTAAATTTTAAATATGCCTAGAGCCACACCTCTACCTCACAAATTTCTACATTTACATAAAACATTGGAACAACCAGGCCTATTGGGCTGAACACAAGGGCAAATCTGCTACTTCCCCAGCAACTCTGGACAAATTCAAATGTGTGTTATCAGCCCTTTCTATGGTGTGACAGGCTACCCAACATTGTGGAGGTTGAAGGTGAGGAGGGAGGAAGAGAGAGGCAATAGTTACTGTTCGAAAAAGAGGGAAAAGGATGCTAACTTTTAAAATTAAAAGAACCTGGGATTTAAGGAACCAATTTAAGTCCAATTATTTTAATAAGTATGACTATATAACCTCAAGTCAAATGGTTAATTTTAGACACAAATAGAAAATAGATAAGGTATCACCCTGCCTCTTAAAAATATACCATTTCAATTAGAGAACTAGCATTCTTGTAGGCTTTCAAGGCAGTTGTGGCTTATGTCTTAATTAGCCAATGCATGCAGTTATATGTTGGACTTAAACCTGGTTCACAAACGTTCTCAGTACAAAAAAGAATGGGTGTGCATGTAACATAACAGCTCTTCCGCTCTCTTTCCTATGCCAAAATTCCTCCTTCAAAGGTGAAATTCTAATGCCTAGCTTTCCAGCTCCAGCAGGGGGAGACGTTTGAAGGTCTGCTTGTACAGTGGAAATTGCTCTGGACCTGCATTAACCTCTATACCTAAATCAGTCAGCAGCAATGATTCTTTAAGAAGGTTGTCAAGAGGCTTCTATGTCATAAATGTAATTGAAAAAAAACTTGGCCAAGTAATGAGCATGTACAGCAGGAAATACTGCCCTACATTCCCAAGACAGATTTGAAGCATCACAAGTTTATCTGGCAATCAATTACGTTTCTTTTTGTTTTGGGTCAGGGGGTGAAAGGATGTGGGAGTCTTTTAAATAGCTTCTTCAATATAGGATGGAAATCTTTGCTTCCAAGTTGTTAATAATTACAAAATCCTGAGACCACAGATGAATGAATAACTGGAGGAGGGAGAGGGAGCAGATTAAAAGAGCTGACATTAATTTAAAATAAATAGGAATGATGGGGGATGTAGATGGAAAAAAAAAAGAACAGAAAGAAAGGCCAGAGTGAATTTTTCTCTTCTTATTATCTCCACCCACTTCAACACAATCACAAGCCTTGCTTGGCCAGGGAAGCAGACACTTCATCAGCCAATGTGGCCAGCTGAGGGGAGTCCACCATGTTGATGCTTCCAGTCGAAGAGACATTGCTAAGGCGACGTGGAGAAGCATCTCCAGAAACAGTGGGTGATTTGTAGACAATTTCAGCTCCGTGATCAGTCTTGGCTTTGGCGTTCTCACGAAAGGTCAGCTTGTGGCTCTCAATCTGAAATGAGACAAGGTGGAATGGTAAGGACAGATGAGACGGGATTTAAACCTTACCCACTGCAGCCATACGATGGTAGAGCAAAATGGTTCACCCAGTGGAAATATTCTCATATTTTAATGTGTGATCCTAAGAGGAAACCCTGGGATCCTTCTTGCCAATCAGAAAGCTCTGATTATCTCTGTTTACTTGACCAGGAAGTCCTAACTGACTGACATAACTACTATTGTATAAAGTTCATAGTGCAAATTACCCAGATTAGATATAAACCTTTGTGCAAAAATAATAACTTTTTACAGAAGCAGCTTTCCCTACCCAAGGGAATATCTCACAGGAAATACTGTGCTGAATTCTGCATGATAGGTTGGACCCAAGATTTAGATGCACAAAGCCTCCTTAAAACACTGCAGATGAATCTGAGGGGTGGTGGTGGTGAATAAGATTGGCTGTGGCACAAGAGAAACTGAGGGGGAAAGCCCTAAATATTAGGCAAAGGCTCCTTCACAAGCACAACCTGCCTTCTTCAAATAGGAAAATCTGCCTCTGCCACCCCAGTTGCACACACCTAACTGTTCATCCAACCCCATATTAAAAGGTACAGAATCCCTGCCTCCTATCCAACTGGGCAGCCTAAAGTCAGAGCTGAGCAGTCCTCAACAACCTCCAGTTTATTCAGTACTGGTATCTTTTCTCCAACCGAATCTCAGAGAATAGGAATGGAATCATCCCAGCCACCCAAGCCCCCCGGCCAGCTCTGGGCCTCTAATCCCCTTCTTGCTCTCACAAAGCTTATGACAACAGGTAACTACTTACTGACATCGCATGGGTGCAAGTCGGGGAGTGGGCTCTCCTCAGGGATGGAGGGCTCCGTGATGGGGGAAGGAAGCCCAGCCTTATTGGGGCAGTTTTGTACACCGTTCGTGTCTTCCTTGCCCTTCTCTCTCTGCATGTGGGTGGAGAAGGTCAGTGGGATGCAAAATAGCATCATCAAATAAGATGACAACGAAAGCAAAATTTTAAATGGGGAGGGAGGGACATACGGAACCGAAGAAGGACAGAGCAGCAGGAAGTATGAAAAAGAAGCCACAGGAACTGATGATGGAGAATGTAAGAGCTAAGGAAGAAGAATCACATAGCATTGACTCTACTCAGAATACTACAAAGGATGGTCGTTGCTAAAGTCGTTCATTAAGAACTATTAATCTGCAGTGACTTAATAAACCAGCATGATCAAGCCGTTTTTGCAGCCTAACCTGTAGAAAGGATCGTTAATTTATCATATATACAAAAACTGAGCAGCATCTCTTTGAAACAAGCAATAAAGATCTATGGCCAAAATGGCAGGCCTCTGTCCCTTCCTCACCAGCTTTTCTTCATACACGGTTCAATGGACTGCAACATCTGAGATGCAGCCTAGGTCAGACCCAGTCTCAGCTGCCCCTAATTCACTGAAATAATTGAAACCGAAAGATGTCATGATGGCTAATAATAAAGCCCAATCTTTTTCAGTGGGTCTCCTGTACTTCTAACTCTACAGTTTTTCCCCTATGCACTATCCACACTCTCTGCAGTTAACAATTAAGATAAAGTCTGTTAAGGGGAAACTCCTATCATTTTGTAATTTGTTCTCAATCCCCATTCCTTTCAGATGGCTTAAAAGTATTGATCAATAGGCATAAAAGGAGATGCTGAATATAACAATGGACGTGTTTCAAAGTTCTGATTTCCCCTGAAAATCTGAAGATGGGATGAGATACAGAATCTTATAGCGTGTCTACATTAAATCTTTCTCACTTGCCCAGAGAAAAAGACAAATCTGGGATACTACAAAGTATAGATAGTCCTCGCTTAACAATGCTAATGGGACCAGAAACACTGTCATTAAGCAACACCGTCATAAGTAAAAAACACATGACCGCACTGCTTAGCGACTGCAGTTCCAGCAGTCCCAGGTTGCTGTCATTAAGCAAATCACACATGGTCATTAAGCAAGGACCTCACATGACCGCAACTTCCTGACTTCCATTGACTTTGCTTATGGGAAGCCAGTAGGGACGGTTGCAAATCATGGTCATGTGACTGCAGGACGCTGCGATGTCATAATTGTGAGCTGGGCACTGAATCCCAAGACTGCAATCACGTGATCGTGGTGATGCTGTGCTGGCCCTAAGTACGAGGACTGGTCGTAACTACCACTCATTCAGTGCCATTGTAAGTTTGGTCACTGAACAAGTGGTTGTTAAATGAGGACCACCTGTATGGCCAGGAATGCACTCACCTAGTGTTTCTGGCCAACTGGTATTTGGTGACTGGTTACACAAACTGTGGCAGCCATTTTGTGACTGGGCAACCTCTCTCCCTCCCCAACTGCAGCCATTCTCGCTACATACTATTCATGTGTTCTCAAAATACGGGACCAAAGCTATAGTCAAGTACACCTATTCATCTGTACGTTGAGTTATCCCAACTGTGGTTCAGAAAGTTCAGAAGGGAGAAATAATGAAAAGAGATGGAGGAAGAAGAAGTGCAAAAGTTGTGTCAATGGCAGTGAGAGAAGGATAAGGAAGCAGAAAAGTCCTCCCATCAGAAGCCAGAACACTCACTGGAAAGAGCTAATGAGAAACAGAAAGTTTTATAAAGTTATTAAAATGAGATGCATCTGAGTGGAAAGGACTGAAATGCATGGGAGTAGAGCCTCCCTCCCCAAGAGAGGAACAACAGATGAGGCACATACAGACAAAAGCATAACTTGCATTAATGGGTCACTCTCAGATTGGTGCTTCAAAACCTGTGCGGCATTCTTGTTGCTAGCCCTGGAACTATGTGAATATAGCAATCTAAAATGGGATGCCAATTTACAAGAAAAATAACTAGGTTCAGGTAACTTGTGCTTTCAATCTCAGATTGATATACAAAAGTTAGGAGGTGGACCCTTTTATTGTACGAAGACAAATACTGTCAACTACTGGCAGATGCTGTTGAAGGCATACCTAGGGTAGCCAGTTGAAAAACTGATTGGAGGGGAGTGATTCAGGAGGCTGATTCAGTCAAATACACAATGAACAATCCTGGTCCAAAGAAAACTTTGTATTTATTTATTTATTTATTTATTTACTTACTTACTTACTTCTTTATTGCTCTACTTTCTATAATAATACCAAGGTTCGCAATCAATAAAAAGGAAGTATTACACAATAAATGGCTTTTGTTTGAAACCCAGCATTAGCTATTTTAAAGACCAGATTACAGAGCTATAACTTAACTCCTTTCCACACTGCTACTGCAGTGAAACCAAAGGTTCTTAACCTTTTCTTCACTGATGGCACTCTTAAAATCGTACATTGCATTCTCTTGGCACCATGTTCCATTTTCTACTACAGTAGTTGTCTCCATAATACATACTGAAGGCACAAGTTGATTTACTGAATAAAGTCTAAGGAAAGTGTTTATTTTCTGAGGATCGGTTACTGAAATAAAGTTGTTGCAAATAAACCATCAGCCTTGAAAATTGCTTAATTATTATAATTATATGCTTGCATTAATAGTGTATTTCCAATTTTAAATTACTATGAAACAACCAAACAGAAACTTACCAGGATTTAACTCCTCTTTTGCCACCTAGTGGGATACTTGGGCGTGATGAGACTTACACAGCCTTTTGTTATCCGATGTAATACCAGACAAACATATTCTCATTTCTCTCTCAATTGCTTGTAATCTACCACCTTTTGCAGTTTTTATATTGGTGAGCACAGAAAATCTCAACTTACACAAGTCAGATGTGAGCAGAGGTATCCTCAAACAGGCCTTTTTTGCAGACTATATTAAACTGGCAAGTTTTTAACCAAACATACTTTTAACCTATCCAGCTGTAACCCAACTCAAACTTTAGAATTTAAAGCTAATACCTTTAGGCCAAAAGACAAGTCGTAACCAGTGCGGATATTCCAATATTGGCGTGATATGCCCCCTGATTGGCAGTCTAAATTGCTACATTTTGTGCTACTCTTGAAGAACAGTCCTAAACAGAGCACACTGCAGAAACTATCAAGGACTGGATTAAACAGACTTTTAAAAACAGACTTTTCAGGAACAGTTGCAGCTGAAGTCCGAAACATTCTTGGGCAAACTTCTTGCTACCGGGACCAGGACAGGACAGCAAGCTGCCCAGGCTTCAGAGCTGATTTTCAGGAACAGTGCGACCCTTATCAGAACAGAACAAAGCCCCAGCCGTAACTGGCCAACAGTGCTCCATTTTGTCTTGGTTCATCATCAAGCACAGCAACAGTGAAAGAGCTAAGAGACCCACGATTCCACTGCCTTTCTCCCCATCCGGCAAGGGCTATCTACGAATGTGACCCAGACCGAAAGTCCCATTAAAACAAGTATGTAATTAACTTCTATGCACATTCCACTGACTTCAACTTCTCTGAAAGCTGACCTTACAGAATGACACTGCTATTTCATCATTTTATCTGTTTCCCTGGGAAGACGACACCAATTGGTTATATATGCACCCTATGGAAGTTAACACATTTACCCTCTCAGCAACCTGGAAGCAATATTGGAGCAAGTAATGACCAAAAGGGTTTTTTTTTAAAAAAGCTGAGAGTAATCTTTCAAAGACAGAGCAAGAACTTTGTGAAATTTGAGACAATCCTCAAGTGTACCTTAAGGTATCTTCATATACAAAAACAGTATTAAATCATCAAACATTAGGCTTCGTTATAGACTTCATTATCCAGTGGGGCCAAGAGATACTTCTCCCTTCTGCTCTGTCTGAAATGTTAGTGCTTTTGCCTTTCTTTTAACATATAGAGGTGCACTTAAAACCAGGGGTTATGTTTATTTCTCTGATGATCCCAATTTTCTCCTCTTTTGTGCTGGAAAAGAGAAATCTCCACTTCAGCCGTTGCTTTTGCCCATGCTCCAAACTGTTTACTTAAAAAATCAAGCACTACTTGTACATTTGTGTGACTAAAAGATAAGATGGAATTATCAAGAAAATCCTTGTGTCTAATTAGTAGGACACCAAGCTTGCAAGATCAAATCTCCTGTCTCTCCAAAGGCAAAGCTTAGGCCTCCATCCTGAGGAGTTTCCTGAGGCCTCCGTCCTGAGGAGTTTGCTTTTTTAGAAGAAAGCAAACAGCCTAGTTAAAAAATCAGCAAACCAACAGACAAATGCACCTAAGAAAAACTGGAAGAATCAGAAGATTTAAAAAATAAGGTATTTGAGTACTAATAGGGATTGAACATGGAAGACCCCTGACCGAGGCTCCAACAAGCACAATCACATCTACCCGTACACTACTGCTTGTTTATCAACTAAACAAATAGAAGCTTCACAATAAGTCCAATTACTCTTTCTTATCTAGACACGTTGGTCTATGGTAACCAATAATCAGGAGGAGTCTGGTAACACCTTTTCCGACTTAGAAATTTTATTAAAAAGCATAAGCTTTCATGAGCTACAGCTCACTTCATCAGATTCACAGAGTGGCTAAACTGATATAGGATTGTAATTGGGATAACGTGGGGGGGGGGGAAGAAAGATTGGTTATGTAAATATAGGTTATATGTGAGACAGATTGCAAGTACTTTATTAATTAACGACTGTAAAATGTTAAAAACCTATTGTGTTCATTAAAACCTTTTGAGATAGCCTCAAACCTTTTGATGTTTGTGAGTTCAGCAATCTCTTGTTCAATTGTGCTTTTAAAGTCTCATTTTTCACTTTGAGATCTGCAATAGTGCCCTGAGATGTTGAAATGTTCTGACATTATTTTTTCCTGGTTTTGAGTCCTGATGTCAAACTTGTGTCCATTAATTCAAAATTTGTCTTGTCTTCCATAGAATCCAGAGGGGCATGGCTGGCAGTTGATGGCATATATCACCTTAGAGGAGGACCGTGTGAAGGCCTCTAATCGTCTGTCTACATGTTGGGGCCAAGACAGTGCTTTTGGTGTAGATCTATTTATTTGATTACAAAATACCTGACTCCCAACAACGGTGTGGAGGACTCTGTAGATGTGGGGACAAACGAGATATCTGGGTTTGTTGCAGCACCTGGTTCCCATGTTAGCATCGTTGTCCTGTTATTTCTTGTTGCTTTCTTATCTTTCAGCAGGAAGAATGGTAGGAAAGGGATGGATTACAACTGTTCCATATTCTACTTAGGAAATAATTAGGCTCTGATGTAGAAATGTCATAGTATCTGATGCACAGAAAAGGAGAACCTTCAGTGAAAATAAGCAGGCACACTGCAAATGTAATGTGCATTTGCACATTGACATATAAAGATGCACCCAAATGTGTTCATAATGACCCCGAAGCCTCAGTATTAGTGAACCTAAATACATGGCAGCCTTATGTTTCCTGATTGTAGTAAATTAAAAATTCAAACCATCAAAATCTGTCCTTTTGCTGCACTTCACTCAAATTCTTCTCAGGTTAATCATATTCTTCAAGTGTAAAAGATCACCAAAGGATGGTGTATAAGAGGTGAGCTGCACGGACCTTTCAAAATACTATTGATAGGGAATGTTGGGGACATTAAATCCCTGACATTTTACAGCAAAACCTCTAGTACTGCCCTAACTAAACTAAGCTGAGAACCTTCACCTCTGCTACAGAGTTAATCTCACTGTTCTGTTTTGTACTACTTGCAGAAGGTGTTCTAGGCTTATCAAATATAGGAGGAAGAAAAACCAGAGCTAACTTTTTTTTAGTGTACCCATGGGCTCTGAATCAGCTTTCTCAATCTCCAATTAACTGAAGGTATACTGGGTCCAAATACAAAGCATGACTTTAGAACTGTAGATTTTGGTGAAAAAGGAGACAGCCAGATTACCACATCTAAAAAATACTGTAGTTGGAGAAGCAGAGTTTCCATAGTCAGTGTAGAATAATTTCCATGTGAATGATCTGACCTTGCTTAACCTTCTGGCGAGTATCAGAGCTGGCAGAAATGTACAAAATGTAGCAATCAAATTCTAGGAATGAAGAAAGCTGCTTCCTCTTCCAAGTTTAAGAACTTGGTGGTAAATATCTTTATCCTGGGATCTGCCCTGCATAGAATGGTTTGGTAGTGGTATCCGCGTCACTGATTAAGAACATTTTGCATTGCTCCAAGGCCTTTTAACTCAGCAGACGTCCAGTAAGACAGAGGTTAGAATGTTTTCCAACCAACCATGGCTATTTCTGGATCTGGTGTTCTTTTTGTGATTTATCCAGACTCTTGTAATATTTTCTGTGCAGGTAAAAAAACATTTTGTTCTATGGAAGAATCCTTGTAAGATTAGAGAATATGGAGATGTATCGAAGGGACAACATCCAAACAGGAAATCATCAATCCTTGTCAGCGGCCCAATGCATCAAAATCTCTCAGGACTGAATCTTTAGATATTTCCTGATCATTTCCCTCACATTCTTCCCTCTAAGAGAATATGGGTAGTGTTCAATATCATTCCCAGATCAGCATACTCTCTCTAGATAATATCAAATGTGAAACACACACAACCAGAGAAACATTTAAATTTTCCTGCCACCAGTTCATCAAGAAATATCATGATATGCCTTTAAAAGAGTATCAATGAAGCAATACACAGTCTAAAATATGGTTTGAGAGAGAGAAGAGAGGTGGGAAGATGGGATCATAAAGTCAAAACCAACAGTGGATTAATACTATGCAGCCATCTTCAGCTTCAGTTCACCAAACCTGTTGTCTCTACGCTCACTCTTGAAAAGGAACAAGTATATCTGACAACAATCTGGTGGGTATGCTTCTACAGTATGGTAGCCTTGTTCTTTAGGTATGTCTGTACACATCTGAAGGTGCCTCTTGGAAAATTTACCAAGGAGATATGAAAAGAGAGATGCCTTCTCTGGAGAAGGCATTTTGTACAAGGAAAAGGGTGATCTGTGCCTTACCCATTTCTTCTTGGCCACCCCTGTTTTTGAGGGAGATCGTTAGAATTCTATGTGAGCTTGTATATAGCATCTAGTCAGCCCTTCAGGTTGCTTCCTTACAATTAGGAAAAGCTGCTGGTTTAGCCAATGTCTTAATGGTCTTCAGTAGACATTGGGGATATTTACAGATACTGCATTATGAAAATTGGGACTTAGTAAGAATAGTGTTAAGACTTAAATTAGCACCATCCCAGACATTATAAGACTTGAAAGAGTCTCCCACAATAGTATTACTCAAAAGCTTAATACAATCATTGCTCTACAGCAAACCTGCCCCCATCACCCACATATCTAAAGAACAGCAAGAGGAAAATGTTTTTACCTTCTTATTTCCTCCTCCAGGGATATGGGTGATGTTATCTAATGACCCAATTTTTGATTGCACTTTATCTTTGAAGTCCAGTTTCTCAGATTTCACCTCCACCTGTCCACCACCTAACGAAGAAATGAGCAGGATTAACAGATATCAAAAGAAACATATAATGCTGACTTCTGGAGAAAATACTTGTGTCTGTGTGTTTGTGCGTGCTTCTTTCCCTCAAGCGGGCATTGTGTTTGTCTACTTAAGCATGTGAATATGATATGAGCTCTGCTCCAATACACTAATTCAGTTATGCAAGTCTCACACGATTTACAAAGAAACTTTGGATCTCGGATTTTTATGGTTATATTCCATTTAGCATCATAGTAGTAATAATAGTCTAGCCATAACACTTGCTCTAAGTGCAAAATAATGAAATGTGAGTGGTTTACTGGGAGGTAAGAAGAAAGGAAAAACAAACTGGAACATGCTGAACTTGTGCTTCAAACTCAAGAAACTTTTCTCAGTAACAGCTACAGCTTTAGGGAAATAACTTTAAAATTAAATGTCAGTAAGCTTGTAGGATCTTAAAATGCAACACTTTTAATAATCTAAACTGATACACTCCAATTTTTCTACAGAGTCCCCTTTCTCTAGCTTGCTGTTTTCTAGACCCCTATACAAGAAAGAAATAAAAGCAGGCAGGGCATATATAAGATTTAGAGAACTACTGGATAAAGTTTATTTCTCAGAGCAGACTGCATTCCCCTGCTACAAGTCTGAAAATGAAAACGATGTCTAGAACCATAGCAGAGAAGTCTGGCCCACACCAAGGAAGGACTTCCAGGTCTTATCCAGCACAAGGCCGCACCCAAAATGTTTCCCTTGAAAGGAAGGCATTTGAAGTGATTCCTGTAGAAAGCACTTGTGAGGATTGGTTGTTCATTTAATTTTACAGTTAATTAAACATTTTTTTGGTCATGTTCTGGAGTAACCCTATAGATCATGAATTGATAGGAATTCTGTAAATGACAACATCCAGTGCTTTCCAGACACTTATGACTCACTCAGACAATAGCAGGGGTAAACACATGGAAGGAGCAATTATCTGACCTCATTTATCAATTGTAATTATTCACAGTACACTAAGTAACTCTACATTCTTTGCAGTTACTTTTGTCTTTGCCATCTCGGTATTTTTTTAAAGGCAAAATAAAAATGATACCAGAATTTACCCAAAGATAAGCATTACAATATATATTACAAATATGCTTAAAAAAATAAAATACATACATAGACATCAAAGTCACCTGGTTTGTGATGAATGTTATCCAGAGAGCCACATTTGGACGTTACATGGCTAAGATCCACTGGCTTGTAAACAATTTGTACCTGTGAGAAGAAAATGAAAAACTATATGCTTTGGGACTGGAATTTATTTTAATTTGAAAAAAAAAACAACCCAAGATATGCTGGAAAAGTGAGACATACAAAATACTGGAACTTGATTGGAGAAGAAATACAGCTGGAAAAATTAATTAACCAAGCAAGGAAGAATGAAAGCTTTCTGCAAGAAACTGTGAAGCCAAAAGCATGTGTTACAGCAAAGTCCCCCACAAGCATGCACAGATTCACTTTGATTTTTAAGATGATTCATTTAAAGATTTATGGGAAAATAAGAACCACCATAAAAGCAAGATACCCATAAAATAGTTGATCCCACATTTCCAAATCTATTCTAAGAGTTAATTATCTTGTTTTTTAGAGTAACCCTATAGTTCTACTTTGCCTTATTTTTAATATAGTTATTCTTTAATCACATTCATGTTGTTCCATTTTTAACACTGGGATTCTTTTTTTATTTTTAATTGCATAGGATTCCAAATGTTGCAGTCATTTATATAGTATCTATATACTTAGAGTTACAATATTTCACAAAGGCATACTTTCAAAATAATTTCACTTCCTCATGAGATGGGCGGTGTCTAAAATTTGAAAAATAAATAAATAAATAAATAAATAAATAATTGTAAGTACTCATCTCCGAAGATTGCACTTTTCTTGCAAAATCACCCCTTATGTGGCATCCACACTGCATTTCCACAGCATGCAAAAACTATTTTACCTCCAGAAGATGGAGGTTGGAAACTGAGGGTGCTTAGGTGAAAGTGGAGAGGAGAGAAAGAAAGAGAGGTGTAATCAAATAAACTATATCACAGAGAAAATATTTAAAAGCACAACAGAAACTGAACTAAATACCTTTTCTGATGTTAAACTTAAGGTTTATGTCCACAAAACTGAAAGAACAGAAATAATCAATGTGCGTTGAAAAAGCTGGAGGTCTTACTTTTTTAAAGGATCTTTTTAAAACATAACCGAAAAAGTATTTGGAACAATGTGGAATTATAATCACATTATGGTAAAAAGTCAGTTATCCAGAAATAAAACATGCACGAAAGGTATAAATATAAACAAAAATAATTACTAGCGGTTATGAGGTTATAACAAATGACACTGCAGAAAGGCATACAACTGGAGAAAAAACATACAATACAGTCCCAAAGGGGTGAGGGGATGCACCCTCCAAATCCATCTTTGCTGTGCATTTTGCTCCAAGGTTGTCTAAGTACCAAGATGCTAATTCCCTCTCAACCCTCAAGCCAGGATCCTGGACATTAGAAGCTGAGCAGCCCATCACAAGAAGCAATCATAGTCCTGACCTACCAATCATGCTATTACCCTATGGTGGAACTCACGGCAATCAGGATTCAAGTTACAAGTCTTCTCTGGAATGCATTGGGGATTTTTTTTTTTCTGGAATGTTTTTCTCTGCAACCCCAAGCAAGATCCAGCCCATTTTCAAACTCAGTGTTTCTGCCAGCTTTTCCCACATTTGTTCCTGTTCTGTTCAGTTTCCAGACACTTATCACACTGAAGGACAGAAGGATAAACAGTGTCCTGACATCTTTACATAACTTCTTTCCAATATTTTGTTGAGTTGGAAAGAACAAAAAAGGTATTCATTCTTTAGACCAGCATCATCTCATCAATCCATTTACCTATGATGCAATGATTCAATGATCATGGCTTGAGCTAGACAGGCTACACCAGAAATTCTCAGGCCACTGACTAGCTACATGGAAGTTTCAGACTCTTGTATTAAAGAGATGTATTTGAACACGTTCACTCATATGTAAGAAATTCAATGAGATCTTAATGAATTATCTGTTAATACAATCATCTTCCTTTTTTTTTTTATGCTGAAGTCACTTCAGAAGTACTCTCCATGTCAGATCTACATAACATCCATCAAGCAGATGCCATATATTAAGAACATAACCTCCATCAAATCAGACAAAGGGTCCATCATTATATATCCACACAGTCAAGCAGCTGCTCATTTTTCTCATACACATTCTAAAAAACCTTTAAGAAAACACCAATGTCAATTTTATTTTAAAAATGGCCATTGAATAACTATGGCTTGCCAATCAAAACAAAATGGAGAAGTTTAAAAAAAATCTCAAGAAAAAATGGCACTGTTCCTTTAGATGCTGCACTCTTCCCTTCTTCCATGAGCCTTTACCTTCTCTCCTCAAAACCCAATGCCTCAAAACCTAGATCGTAAAGGGATCATTCTTTTGTAAAAGACAGTCCCAAGGATATCAACCACTCATGCCTCCCTCTGGCCATTCTATTCCCCAGGGGAAGTCCTTTGTCTCCCTGGCTATTTCTCCCAGCACGTTCTCCCCTGTTGGAAGGCTACAAATGTCTTCTCTTCTTTCAAGGAAATTGGCTTCTCAAGGAAGAATGCAGAGTCCCCTCACAGACTGGCTATCCACTCATATTAACAGGAGAACAATGGTATTCTTCCCTCTTTTCCTTCACAACTCTGCTGCTGGGGCGGGTAGCCGGTCTTTGCTCTCACTTTATCTTGGCTCTCGTTCCACGGGCCTATTCATTCAGTGTGCATGTAGCAGAGTTGGAGCTGGTAAGACAGTAGTAGCAGCAGCCACTGTACCCAGCAAGGATAGAAAGAAAGGTATATAAAGCATGGGTGTGAGATGCACATCAACTGAAGAGAAAAGGGGGGATAAAGGAAGAGGACAAGGAAGGACTGAAAACAAATTCGTAATCATTCGTAAATGTGGGAAAACATTGTCTACAAATTCTATTTCAGGAATTTGGAAATTAAACCTCCTTCGAAACTTTCTTTATAAAGTTTGATTTAAGAGACATGCTTAGAGAGATCTAATGAAATATGTATCTCTGGAATTCACAGATTTTTAACCTGGTTAACTACAGAATTGCTGCTGTGAGAACAACAGTACTGTCACAATTTAATTTCCCTTGCAGACTCTAATAATTTAAATAGCATGGGCTAAATTTCAAGGCATTGTGGGGAATGCTATATACAATGGAAAAGAAGGATAGTTTTCTAAAAGCATTCTTTGCACAGACATTCATAGAAATTGTTGCAGAGGCAAAATCTAATAGCAGGCACTTTCTCAGCTTCCATCTGCAGTAGATCTATACCGGAGCCTCTCCCATTTCCTAGGCAGTACTCCATGTTCGTTTGTTTTCCCCAAAATTTGGATAATACTTAGTGGCCTATGCTAATAATACTGCACTGTTTCAGCTATGTTTATAATGTGATCAATTGACTATATTATTATAACTATAGAAGATTTGATACTTGTATAATGAAAAACAGCCTAAATTCTCCCCCTTCTTGCCTGAAATTAAAGATGAGGAAAAACAAAAATGTTAAAAACCATACCCACAAAATAATGGTTGTCAATGTATATGTGGACAGAAATTGCAAGTAATGGGAGAAATGTCACAAAAGTAGTTTGAGAAAATAGAATACTGAGGGAGAAATGATGTTTAGGGATGAATTGGGGCTGCACTGTCTGGCACATGAATGAGTCAGACATCATTATGCTAGAATAAAAAGGATGGGTAGGCTGGACCCATGAAACAGATACCTTGTTCATTGTTACTATACGCAGCCTACTTTTACAGTATTGATGAACTACATAGTCTTAACTGAAATCCCTCTTAGAAAGTGTACACGTTTGTTTAAATACTTCTGACTCCCTGATTTAGAGAGTGCAAATACATACATAAAAATTATAACACTAATCTGAGGATACATAGTATGTCTCCATTAAATTTCTACTCAGAGCTGCCTTTTAAAAGGTTTTTTAAATTGCTAGTTTTTAAACGCCAACTACCAAGATCAGTTTTCTCCACTGCAGACAAATGTCACAATTATGTCAGCTAATAAAACACAGAAACACAGAACATTATACAGGTTCAACATCATGCAAATGGAGTTCTTGAAAGACAACCTGAACACAGTAAATGGACTAAATGATGCAAACTATGTAAGTTTAATTAGTTAATTATGTTTCTATATTTTCTTTTGCAATACATGCTATTTAATGTGCATTTCAAGTGCCATGCATATAATTCTGTACTATGCCCTAAAACTTTGAGCTGGAAGATTAAACACGGAAGCTCGGGGTAACTCAAGATCACTGCGTTTTGAAAAATAAAAAATAAAAAAAAATCCTAGCATTCTTGAGGTGCTTCCAGACAAAGTTTATTGCAAACAAATTAAAATATGTTTATCAACTAACTCATTGAAAATAAAAGGTCTGATGGGGGGGGGGAGACAAAAGTGGTGGGAACCTAAAGGACAGCTATACATGTAAAATCACACTTGGATCCCCCATAAAATTCAGTGAATGACAGTAGCACCATAAACGCCCAACCTGGAAGCACCTTTGCTTGCAGAAGAAGTAAAAAAAAAAATGTATAGTTGTTAGTATCTAGTAAAAGCTCAAAATCCAATATTGGATAAACCTTTCTGGGATTAGCCAATAAGATTCATATGCCATCCCTGTTTTCATTTCTTATGAGGGCAAATTCAGAAATGAAAACAAAGCAGGGCTATTAAGAAATGAGAGAAAGGTATTATCATGGTCCAGAAAATCCTGAGATTTGCTAAAGAATCAGACAGATACATTGAAGAAGGTATCTTTCCCTCCACTACCCCACTAGAAAGTTACTAGAACCCTTACACTTGGTAAAACTATATAAGGGCTATCATGGGAAGAGAAAGGAAGAATGAATTGGCTTGCTTGAGCCTCTCACAAGTTATGTTGACCTGGAGAACATGGATCTCTACACTGAAACACTGCTCTTAGCAGGTGAGGCCATACTGCAGTATTTTGTCACAGGTCCAACTTGGATCCCTTTATCTACCAACGACCCAGCCTCTTGATTCCATGAAGCATCTAACACTAAATTCTACCTTTTCTACCTCTCTCATGCTTTAAAAATCACCAATTATAGAAGCAAAACAAACTGTATAAAGAAAATTTGGAGAAGATAATTTGCTTAATTGCCAAATTTGCACATTCTGGATTAGGGAACATGCTTATCCTAAAAAAAAAACTACCATTTTTTTCAAATGCAGAACAACTGGTCCACCATGACTATGCATAACTTCTTCATGAGACCTCCACAAAAGCACACATTTTTCATCAAATTTCTAGATTCCTATCTTGCATTAACATCTTTCTCTTTCATCAACTGAATTGTACATCATATTTGCCAGAAGCCTGAAAGCTATGCAATTAAAAAACGGCTACCTTACAGTATTAATATTATTTTTTGAAAAATAACCAATTAGGCCTGCACACACTGGCCCACACAGACTCTGCTGGAGGTTTAATCAAGCCATATCTTCCCTAGTAGGAGGTTAATTTATATGTGTTATATATATATGCTACCAATGGCTGGCTGGCTGGCTGAGCAGGCAGCATTGGCATTTTAGGATTAATGCAGAATTCATGCCACTAATAATAAGTTATTTTATTATAGTGCATTGAATGGTGTGAAGGTACTCACACTGCCTCCTCCTGCGGTATGTTTGATATTATCCTTTGATCCACACCTGGATTGAACATGGCTAAAGTCCAGCTTCTTATTAACCACCTGCACCTTTGATAGTCAGAAAAAGAACATAAGTGACAACTACTGCCAGCCAATGATACAGTGCAAAGGGTTTCTCTGTGTATAATAGCAAACTCAGAAGAAAAATGAAAGCAGAAAATGAAATTTCTTTGGGGCAATTTTCAGTAACTTGGTTTGACAAATGAAGGCATACATTTCAGCTCTGCAGAAGTAAACTTCTAGCAATCAAGCTTCAAATTAATACTTTAAAATAGAACATCTCACACAACACAAGCTATTACACGCATACTGCAGTGCATTTGTCCCATATGTACTGCAACAAAGTATGCATAACTTGAAGAGTGGTTTAAATATTGTACCAGTACCACACCAAACGTAGTTTAACTTTCAGGATTAGCATGGGGCTCCGTTGCCACCACAAGCAAATACCTGGATATCCCATGACTCACTGGCTATATCTTTGATGACCATAAGGAAAAATCAGCATTGAAACATACTTATGAAAGTGAAAAAAACATGAACCAGACTTGTCTCTGTCAGATGTACCTCTATTTTCAGTAGTATTACTTGTTTGTCTATGCTTGCTTATCAGACTAGAAAAAATATTCAGGGCTAGTATATGACATGCGCAATTTAAGTATGACGAGGGGGGGGGGGATAAGTATACCCACCACATGAACAGGGCTTGTGTCCACAGGGTGAAAGCTGAAATCAAACAAAGTTTTATCAGACTGGAAAGCAGCATCCTGAAAAAGGCATCCCTGGATCCTGCCGGTTTGGATATTTATCCCCCAATATATAACTTTCCCTGTTGGGGGAAGATTTTGAAGAACACCATGGGGCCTCAATTGCAGAGAATTCTGGATGAAACAGATTATTTTGATCCCTTTCTATCTGGTTTCAGACCTGGATGTGGATGTGAAATAGTACTGGTCATTCTAGGGGATGACCTTTGTCAGGATGGAGATGCGGGGAGTGCACCTACTGCACCTCTCAGTAGTGAGAGCCACTTCAGCAAAATTACACCAGTGCTGCAGAGCCTGTACTATTAATTTCAGGATGTAATTCAAACTGCTGTTAATTAAGCCCTACATGGCATAGGTCAAGGTTATCTTTGGGACCATTTGCTCCCAGTAACATTGAGAAGGAATGCTCACATTCCTTCCCTTACACTTGGGCTGTTAGAAGAATAGGTGTGAAGAAGCATGCTTCTTCTGCGGCAGCCGCTATCTGATGATGAATCTGAAGAGAATCAAGCCACTATCTCGAATTTGCCATTCGAGGATCAACTGGCCCGCTCGCACCTTGCCTTCAGGAAGACAGTGAAGATCATCGTTTTTCATTGCACATATGGGACCTAAGACCTCACTGCCTGTCTAGTTTCTAGGTGTATTCACAATTGATATTGTTAATGATTTTTATTCTTTTAATCTGTTTTTATTACTTTAGTAATCTGTTATTGTAAACTACCTTGAGTTGTTTGAATAGCTTCATTTTGTGAGGAAAAAAAAGAAATGAAACAAATAAAGGGAAGCGGTCAGAGTACTTCCAGAGTTGGGACTTCTAAAACTATTGAATTGTTACTCTTCCTCTGAAACTGTGTGTATATCCTGCTATATTTCCTGGGCATGATAGTTATTCAGACAATCAAGTCAGTACCTACCATGGAGATCAGATAATCAACATTGGTCTTCCTTTTAAATAACTCTACAAGAATCACTGAGCAAACTACATTATCATTGCTACTCCTGTCAACAATAACCTTCTTTCCAGAGTCTGCTTCCGGTGAGGATGGAGAACTGATGGCTGCACTTCGTGGGAGACATTGCGGCTGAAAGGCAGCTGGATGCAGGATCCAGACTGCCCATAATTCTCTCTGGATAAAAGAATGATCTTGAGATTAACCTCATACATTCCGGACAGCTGGAGATTTTTTGTGAGTCGATAACAGAAACTTGTTTTTGCAGCCGCTTGCAATCAGCTGGGAGTCATGGGTTTCATCATGCTCTGCGCCATTAATGTAGCCTTTTTAAGGACTTAAAGTTCGTCCAAACCTCATCTTTTTAATCACCTTGGAGTTTAATTTTTTTCTTACTGTTTCATTAAGAATGAAAAACCTTCAGAGCTGCAAGTTGGACATTCACTGGGTGAGTTCTCTTCAATCCATTTAAAAAGAAAGAAAATTATGTGTTTCCAGCTTTGTAAGATCTTTATTTTTTGTAATGTATAACAAAAGGGGAATTATAGTGTTATTCTTTGGAAAGTTTTTAAACGCTAAAGATTTGGATGAAATTGATTTAAAGAAAGACTTGGAAGTTAATTAAAAAGATCCTCTCATGTGGAAAAGAACTTTATGTTTGTATTTCAACCTGATAATAAAGCCTTGAAGATTAATCACTAGAGAGCACCAGATGGTCACATTAAAGGAAACATTTTATAAAGTGGCTGAAGAAATCCTAGGAATATTTAACCTTATGCTGGAACCAAAAGTTACTACTGAAGAGAATCAAGTTCCTTGGAAAATAACTGAAATGGATTTTAAGGTGGACTTAAAAATTACAACCTGTAAGAAAGAGATGGAAATATTGGATTTACAAATGGACTCATTTGGAAATTTAAAAAGATGCACAAATAATATACCAAAAGAGGGATGTGGATTACCCATTTAAATTGGAATATAAGTGATTTATAGAAGTGGCTATATTGAGAATACATATGGATTTTGATAAAGATGATAAGGATTTCAAGAGAAGAGACAAGAATAATAGAAGACAGATGTTAGAACTATCTGTGGGATTCAAGGATTGATGGGAGGAAGAAGAAAAAATATAAAACAGGTTTATCTGATTATGGTTAAGTAACAGGTTGTTATTTTTGTTGATGCTTAATCGTTATTTTGACTGGATAACTTTTTTTTGGAATGTCCAACTGGGTGTAATGGATTAGTTTGTAATATCTATGTTACTATTTTTGGTATATGAATAAGGGATTATTATTTCTGGTAATGTTTAATAGTTTTTTGGGTTTAATTTTTTTGTAATATTTAATTGTTAATTGGGTTTAATAATAGGTTGCTATCTCAGGGATGATTAGTGGTTAATTTTTTATTCATTTGTAATGTTCAATTGTCAACTGCGATGAGATTTTGATTATTAAGAGAGGGATTAAGGGGATTATGTTTAAATGGAAAGGGGGACTAAATGCTTA